GCACCACCCAGGAAAACACTAAGACGGCCCCGCCCCCGGCCGGGGCCCATGCGCATCCGCCGCGAACCGGCCACGAGCGCCGCGGGACCCCCCCCCAAAACGCCCCCCCGGCCAAAAGCGCAGCCCCACCCCACCAAGACCGATGCCAACAGCGCGCAACGAAACACACCGCGCACAGAATCAGCCCGAGAGCAGAAAAGCCGCCCGGCGCAAAACCGCAAGAGGAGCAGACCGCAGCCGGCGCAACCACCCCCCCCAGCAGCCCGAGGGGCAGCACAAAGCCAGAGCGGAGCGAACCGCGCCGCCCCCCCACCGGACGATGCCAAAGCAGCCCAGCCACGTCCGCCACCCCCCCCGCAGTCCGCACCAGGCCCCGACACGCGGCCAGAGCAGCTCCGCCGCCCCGGCCCCCCACCACGCGCCGGTCATAGCCACCCCAGGCCCCCACCCGCCCCGCAGCCCCACCCGCCGCGATCAGCGGGAACAGAGCAGCCCCGCCATGCCTCCAGGAGGGAAAACCCACCCGAATACCCAGCCAGCGCAGCCAGCCCGCCCAGACCGGCCCCCCAACACTACCCCCGCCGGAGCCGCCCGGACCCCCACACACCAGCGGCGCGCCGCCAGCAGGACCCCCACCCAGCAGGCCCGCCTGCCCCCCGAGAAAACAGACATGCCAAACCCCCCAAAGAAAAAAAGAGAAAAAAAAAAAAAAAAAAAAAAAAAAAAAAAGGGGCCCCCACAATGCGACAGCGGACACCAGACACCGACCCGCCCGCAACCGCTCCCCCCCACCGAGGAAGAGAAAAAAAAAATAAATAAATAAATAAATAAATAGGTAAATAAATAAATTAATTAATAATTACAATTAAAATAAATAGGCAAGAGGAGAAGTGCGAGCGGAAAAACCGGAGCCCAAAACAGGACCCAAGACCCGCACCCCACCATGCCGCGCAGCTCCCCCCCTCCCCGAACCGATACCACAGAACCGGCATAGGAAAGAAACACCGCCCAGGAACCGGCATCGTAGCGAAGGCACCGGCACCGACCCCGAAAATCCCCGAACAACACCCAGCCCCACCCCGAAGCGGATCCAGTCCCAGGCCCCAGGGATCCGAGGCCCCAAGGGCACCCCACCCCCAGACAGGAGCCCCAGCAAAGCCCCGGCCGGCCGGGGCCAGTGGAGAGGCCGCCAGGAATGAGCCAGCAGTCCCCCGGGCATCCACCCCCAGCTCCACCAGTGCACCGGTGAGCCCCGACGCCAGCCAGCGGAGGGAGAGCAGGACGGGGGGAATGGGCTCCGCACTTAGCGGAGACTTTAGATGTATTTGGGAAGTTCATGATTTGAAATCTGATAGATTTAATAAACCCCATAATTTATTGAGTTGCTTTCATGCTTCAATCTGGAAATATAATCATGGAAAACAAACTATTCATTCTGTTAAAATATGTTTAATGTGTTTTTAAAGCATTTTAAAACAGAGAAGTTAATTTGATATAACTCAGTTATAACCAAAAACTACCAGAATAAAATCAAGACAAAAAGAATAACATGCTTTAAACGGGCAGCAACTAAAAGTGGAAAAAAAATTAAAACTTCATATTTTCAAATTTAGAGTTCAGAGTTAAATTTACATCTGAAATCAAAGCAACCATCACAGACTGGGATCTGCTGTCAAAATTATAAGAATAATGGGACATTTAACAGACGCCACACCTAAACTAGAAAGGCAGATATCCTGACCTCTAGTGGTGGAGCTTCAGATTGCAACATCATTTCTAAAATGTTATGATTATAATAACTGTAGCAAAGGAAGGTGAACATGTCTGTGTGATAATGATAGCTCTATGTTTTTCCCTCATTAGGGTGTTTGGATAATCTCTGTTAACGTCGTCCACATAACCAAAGACCAGTTTGGTCTAAAGGTAACACTCTATTAACAGACTGACAGAAATCACTGATGTTTGGAGAAAATAAATCCTGTATTGTGACATCCATGAATGTGTTGCACAGCAGATGAGGAGAATAAGTCCTCAGTTGTTCCTGCAGCTGGAAACTTTTAAATCACTGAAAGAAAAGCTTGTAAACTTTTTAAAAAAATATACAGAGTAGTAGAAGACGAGAAAAGAAGGGTTTCAGGCTTCATTGAGTTAGGCAATCATTAGACAGCAGAGAATACTCTGAATACTCCCATTAACAACAGGCGCAGTGGTGTTTTTATACGGAATACAGCTGAATTATACAGTCTTTATGCATCCAAACACTGCATTACTGTTGGGCTGTGAGGCTGAGCGTCCTGCTGTGGATTCAGCTGAACAGAGACAGACGTTCGCTCTGACAGCTAGTCATTGTTCCTCATGTGTGAGACGCTGTTATCCTGCAAACACGTGCAGATCTTCAGGGAACCACATCGAGAAGATGATCCAGAGGGGGAACCAAAGGAAGATGCGAGAGGTTCTCGGAGGGGAAGCAAGAAAGGAACGGCAGGAACATCTAGGCTGATCCATATAGAAAGGGGAACCAGAAGAGAAAGAACCAGAACAAATCTAAGAGAAAGCACCCTAAGAGAAAGCACCAGCGATCCGGATCCACCAGCTGATCCACAGTAGGATCTGAAGAAGGAGGATGTTCAGCTGATGAGGAACCTTAACATTTAGAGAACAGGTCAAACTTGACATCTGGGGCCATTTGTGCTTCGTTTCTGCCTCCTTGGACATTTTTCAGCTGCCGTGCCTCTGCAGAATCGTCTTTATTTCCTGCATTTAGTCATTTTTTATAAAGTGGATCTTGGTGTTCTCACGGTCACTAATTTTATAGGAGAAATCAGTTGATGAGCAGACTCCTTCGATTCTCAAACCCATCCATTCACCTGCACCAGATTCTGCTGTTTTTACTTGAACGTGCATCAGAAATGGGCTGTATAGTCCTTTACAACCTGTTTTATGTTTCTCTTTAAAAAGGCCTCCCTAAACCAGCCTGGTTTGGTTCAGACAAACTCAGAAGGCGGCAGAGAGGTTCTGTCAGCTCTTCGGTCTAAATATCTGCCATAAATGTAGTGAGGCATGAAGGTAAAAGCTGAAATCTGTTCTGGTGGAATTACCTCAGTTAGGATAACAAATTAAAACTCTAAATAGATTTAAGTATTACAAATAATGGGTCTGAATTTCTTAATCACCAGTCTCAGATAAAGGATTAAAAACAGCATATGACTAAAATATGTCAGCAGAAACCCGATTCTCTTAATGGCCTTAAATTTCCCATTTTACTGAGATCGCAAAGTTTTTATTCCTACAAACCAATAACAATAATTTATTAAATCAGAAGATGATAAGCTGGACAAATACTAAGAGTTGTTTTAAAAAGATTTAATTTATGAAAAGAAAATCAAAGCTTTCCATTTCAAATGGGCTCTATGTGAAACAGCATTTGCTCCACTTTTTAAATCACACGTTAACGTTGATCAACCACAGCTGGAGGTTCATTTTTCAAGTTGCACCGATATCTGATATCTGTCAAACATGTAGAATAAAGAAATCGAACCTGTTCAACAACACTATTTAGGAAAAAAGATCCCAGAAAGAAACACGTCAGCCTGCAAACAAAACGCATCCTATAACAGAAAGCAAAGTCATAAACCTGGAAGGCGTTAAAAAGCTTTTCCGTTGACTTTTGGATTCTTGGGAACCACAGAATTAAGAATACGCCAAACAAGCCATGCATGTCACTAAAGACAGAAAAAAAAACCTGCAGCCCTCATTCTTATTTTATTTCAGGGATCATAAGTGAAAACGGCACTAATGGGAGATCTCCAAGGACAGGACCCCTGCTGACAAGTTCACAAAGGGCCAAATCACATTTAATTTACCAAAAACATCTCCATCTTCCCTGATAAGTTTGGGGAGAAAAACCCAAGGACTGAAAAGGCTTTTTGAAGGTTTGGTTCAGTAACAGTCAGACATGTTGGTGGACGTGTGATGGTCTGGGGCTACTTTGCTGCTTCAGGAGGTGGATGACATGAAGTAATTGATAGATTTTTTTTATCATTGCATGTCATCTTTAAATTTGTTTGATGATCTAAACTTCAAATAGACACCAAATGTTTTTCTGGTGCGGTGTTCCCTGATACTGACCGCTAAGGGGCATATGTTAGATTAAAGGAATTTCAGTTAAAAGATGGGATTGATAAATTGTTTGTATAATATAAGAACGGTAACCAGAGATGGGAAGTAGATTTTCAAGTAGATTTTTCTGATATTTTTACTTTACTTTACTACTTATTTTTATGCCGACTTTTTACTTCTACTCCTTACATTTTTACACAAATATCTGTACTTTCTACTCCTTACATTTTTAAAAATTGGCTGGTTACTTTAGTTTTGAATCATTTCAATAGAGTTACCGTTATTATTTTTCACGTCATCAATACCAAATTCAATCTAATTGGATGGGAATCTACGTTGCATTTGACGCACCACTACAAGATGAATCGACAGATTCGGCGGTATTCATAGGCGGCAAATCATTGCAGCTTGGTGGCGGTGGCGTTAGCATAGTAGCATGGACGACGAGATGATTGAAAATGAACACAACGGAGATCTAGTCCTATTGGCAGACATCCATTTAAAATGTAGGCAACGGCATGAAAAAAGTGGTTTCTACTTTTACTTTTATACTTTAAGTAAATTATCAAGCCTGTACTTTGTTACTTTTACTTGAGTAAAGAAGTTTAATCAGTACTTCCACTTTTACCAGAGTATTTTTTAACACAAGTATCTGTACTTTTACTCAAGTACGGAAAGTGAGTACTTTTGCCATCTCTGACGGTAACAGTAGGAACAATCCAGCCCAAAGCAGATTTTATACAGACATGAAGTGACTTAAAGCCTCTAAGGACACGCCCTGTTCGCAGTGAGGCATTGTTAGTTTTTATAAATGTTTTACCACCCTTTGTCTTCTGGTTTTCCAGGATCTTCTGCCTGGCACTCAGACGGTTCGGTTTTTATCCTCGTTCAGATATCATAAAAAGGATTCTGCTTTGATGTCCAAACTTTGCAGGAATGACTTCTGATCGGTATCCGACATCTTGTTCAACACCTCAGCTGAGAGTGAGCTGCTGCTCCCAGATTTTTCCTCAAACCAGCTGTCCAGTGCTCGCTTTGCTTCAAAGCTGGCGACGGGCGGTCCGTTAACGGCCACGGTGAGAAAGTCGTTCATCTGCTCCAGGGTCAGACGGGAGCGGTTGTTCTTATAGATCCTCTGCAGTGCGCCACGACCTTTATCACAGCAGGCCGTTGAGCTGGGAAGGACCCCAACAACCTGGACGATCCTGTTGAGGAGTGGGAAACGCTGCTTGGACCTGGAGATGTGGATGAGGATGTCTTTGAAACCATTCTTGTTGAGGAAGTCTGCCTTTAGGTCCTTCCATTCCACCAGGATACTGCTCCTACCCTCCATCTTGCCTTCCTGACCTGCAGAAGGAATGGACTCCAGGTGGTTGAATATGATTTGGATTTCCTCCTCACCAAAAGTCTGCAGGTCTTTTTGGTTGCTGGGCCAGCTGTCCAGGTCCAGTACCTTGCAGGCTTTGGTGAAGGAACGGCTCTGCAGGTGTAGCCTCTGAATCAGGACACCCTGACTCCTGCTGCAGATTTTTTTCCTGATGGCTTGAAATTTGGAATCTGCAACGTGGAGGTTTTTCAAAGCAACGCCGTTAAAGCTCTCCTTAAAGTTTTTCTCAAACTCTTGCAGGTATCCACCGGGACAGTTCCCCAACTGGACCATCTCTTGGATAACGTCCTCTATCTTGGCTTCCACCTGGGACACCAGCCGATGCTCTCCTTGGAAGCTGAGGGCCAGTCGGTTGAGAACCGCTATGATATCCAACAGGAAGTAGATGAGCTTCATAGACTGATAGTCCATAAGGAACTGGAGTAGTGTGTAGGCAATGGCTGCAGCATCAGCCCGCTGCGTTTGGCTACTGATCTCCTTCAGGTGTGCCAAAACCTCCCTATAATCTTTGATGAGGGCATTCAGGACGTTTGGTTCTCCGATGATCCACCGTACGGCTCGGATATCGCCCAGGAACTCTGTTTCTTCGGACAGAGACGGAGCAGTGGATCGCAGTTCAGCCATCATGCGAGGAGAGTAGCGGTAGAAACTCAGCAGCTGCTTCAGGTTGTTTTCCAGATCCTCTAGACAAGAGAGCTCCTTTCCAGTGATGGCATCCAGAACCTCCAGATGAGGTCGATGGATCATGACTGGAAGGCAAAGCATCCAAGGAAAAGTCTTTTGGACAGATAAGTACAGGCTTGATCTTATCCCTGAAGGGATGTGGGTACCATCAAATCCAAGACCCACAACCAGTGAGTCCTGAAACCGGAGTCCCAGGACACTGAAGGCCCGATCCAGAACTTGGAGGTATCCATCCGCACTAGGCACACTCAGTCTTTGCAAGGACAGGAACTCCATTTGTTGGGAACAGTCACTGGTGGTGAACTGGACATAAACTGCCACCAAGTCTGAGAAAAGGTCGTCGTGTTGAGCATCCAAAATGACGCTGAGATAAGGAGACAGACGCATCTTTTCAGCCAACTCCTCCTTCAGAGCTCGAGCGATGTGGTGGACCAGAATCTGACAGTGTCCCTCATTCAAGTACTGATCCACCACTTTGAGCTCGCATTTCTTCAGTAGCTCAGCCAGAGGCCGGAAGTCTGAGAATGCCCGTCCCTCCAGAGCCAGGTGGTACGCCGCGTTGAACAGCAGCGTCATGTTCTTGCACATCTCCTCCGTCTTCTCCGGATGCATCTGCAGCTTGTAGAGCTGCAGACACTTCTTGTGAATGTTACTTTGACTGTGCAGCTTGATGGTGTGGACCTTGAACTGCTTGGAGCCGGCGATGAAGGCCGAGGTTCGAGATGACTGGATGGTGTACTGACGGCAGACATGGCACCACATTTCATTCAGGGACGGCGAGTAGCGAAGAAACCAAAACTTCTTTAGCCAATCCTTCTTGAAACGGCGAGTTCGTCTGTTTGCTCCAAGGTGAGGCTTTGCCGAGTCCTCTGGGGAAACCACGAGGTCTGCTGGGAATGACTCATCGGCCGAGTCCACTTCCTGCTCGTCTTCATCCATCTGAGGGGGCGACAAGGGCTCGATATCTGGAAAAGAGAACCTGTTTAACTTATGCTGAGAGAACAGTGTCAGTGAATCCAAGTATTTTGAATTCAACAGAACTTTCTGAAAGTCTTAGCTCAGAGTTTTGATAAAGATTATAATTAGAGTAGCTCAGGTTATCCTGAGCTATCTCTATAGGTATGCTGCTATAAGCTGAAGGACTGGTTATACTGCTGCAATAGTGTGTCGCAGGTATGATGCAGATATTTTTAATTATGCCACATTTTAAAGTGTGGTCTGCGCCATAAGGCAAGAGGGACATTCACGAATTAGCTGTGAGTCTAGATACGGCCGAGGCGGTAAGGAAGTGGGGGCAAGTTTGTGCGACAACGGAGGGACGTGAGGGCGAAAAAGAGCGGGGATCCAGGTGGAAAAAGGTTCCCAGCGTTCTCACGCACCTCGCTCTTCTACCTGGTCCATCTTCACGAGTCATTTTCCACAATTGTGGTCATACAAACAAACAAGCCGGTAAGGTACCAAACAGGAAATAGTGTAGAGCGGATGTAGATTTGACCAATCAGTAGCCTCCTGTCTGTGGACACCTAGAGTTTTGTAGAGGTGCAGCAGAGTATCTGCATTCACTACGACACACACGCAGATGACCTGGTTTGACAGCCTTTAGACTGCTGGAGGACATAGGGACCCTTTTTCATCATTCTGCTTCATTCTATCTCTATTCTCCCGCTCTGCAGAATCTGTTAGTTCAATCTCTAACGTTCTGCTCTCTCTGCTTTTTCTCATAGTAGCTTCATCTGGTCTGTTCCTGTTTGGCTGTGACTCCATCCTGGAGAGAAATATCAGCTGTGCTGCTGCCATCAACACCTTTGTTTCTAGATGTTGGAGATCAGCCTGTTTTCCAGTGTAGTCCTGTTTCTCTGACTGTGACTAACTGGATGTGCTCTCTTCATCCTCTGACATGGGAGCTGGCTCAGAGCTCGTCTGCCTGGCTTTGTGTTTCCTGGACGGGGCCGCCTGCGGAGCTGGTTGACAGTTGCATTTTGTATCTCTGCTTATATTTCTATGTCTGCTTCTGTCTCCTTGAACCCCAGTGGGCCTCGGCAGTTGGCCGCTCACACTGAGCCTGGTTCGGCTGGAGGTTTCTTCCTGCTAAACGGGAGTTTTTCCTCTCCACTGTCTCTACAAGCATGGTTGGTGTGATTTATTGTTGAAGATTCAATGAGTCGATGCAATCAGCTGGTTTTACTTAGATAGAAAACTTTAAACCAATTTGACTGTATGATCTGGTTGATTTGTCTCTGTAAAGTGCCTTGAGATGACATATGCTGTGAATATAAATAAACTGAATTGAATTGAGAGCTCATAATGTATTCTTTATTATCTGTATTTTTATAAATATTTGAGCATCCAAGCTTCTTCCTCTCTTTCCAGCAGCTCTGTGTGGAGTTCTGGTCTTTCATAATGCAAATCTGTCCGGCTTTAGCCCAGCAGTCCTTGTTCATTCAAGTCTCACCTCGACACTCGTCTTTACTCACTACCACCCAACCTCATTCGTCCCCTTCACCTCTCTCGGCTGTGCTGGTTGCTGTGGATGGTTGACCCCAGGTGCCTTTGCTCATCCACCACCAGTATCTGTGCTCCCGCAGCATCATAGCTTTCTCTCCATTGTTTGATTCTATTCTCCTTTAATTCCTTATTTGCAGTTATTGTTGACATTGTTTAGCTATTCTTTTCTGGTCTCCAAAAAAGGGTTAAAAATAAACATAGCTGGACCTCATTGAGTGACTCCACCTGCGTATACCTGGCCCAGCGTCTCTGGGTTCGACTGTTCTCAGGCTTCCTCAATTCCAGTCTTGGAGGTCTTGTGTCCTGCACCCTTTAGATGTTTCTCTGCTTTCACACCCGAGTCAAACGGCTGAATTACCTCATCAATACAAGTCAAGTCCTACCAATGAGAGAAACATCTAAGAAGGTGTAGACATCAGACCTCCAGGACCAGAATAGAGGAATCCTGCTCCAAATGCATATTGCCCTGTCTTACCTTGTGTCTAGTAGAAAAAGCCCTTGAAGAAATTATTGTAGTCAATGAGTTTGTCTTTCAGTCCTCAGACGTAGAAATGCCTCAGAACTTAACTCGTGACCTGTGCTTCTCTCCTAGAAACCACTAAAGCCGGGCTTACATTGTGCGATTGTTTTTGTACTTTTCGGGGCGATTTTTAATCTCACTGAGCAGTCGTGCGAGAATTTTTAGATCGGCCTGATTTTCGGCCTGATTGTGGGTTGTGTAGAGTGCAGAAGGCAATCAGCCTCTCAGGACCACCTCCTGATCAGGAATCCTGAGGTCCGGAGAAGATCAAACATGTTTAATTTTCATACGACCATCGTGGGCAAAAAAAACAAGAATTCTTCTTCTTCCTCTCAGGTGACAACACAGAAGCATGGCGGGGTTGTGAGTGAAATTGAGCTCTTTCTGTAAAATTGACAGACCTTGGTTGCCACGTTTGCTCAGCCATGTCTTTGTCCAAATACGTCGTCACCTTTTCTTTTTAGGGCTTTCAGCACAAATTTGCACAAATGGCCAAGGCAGCGCGTTTCACTTATATTCTTCTTCTGCTGATTTGGCTTCCTAATAGACGAGTCCGAGTAGCGCCATCTCACTGCGTAGCTGAGTCCGACGTGGTTTTTCATCATGAGCCGTGAACTGTATGACGAAACCCTGCGGTTTCATCATACAGTGTGAGCTGTAGTTACATGCAACGATTGAAAAAAATTGTATGCCCCGTTTAAAGGAGCTGAAGCTGCTCAAACACAGAGGACAGCCCTGAATATCTGCTGTTTTGTGTGTCTGATCTGGCTGATGTGTATTTTCTGCTCCATAAAATCGTATTGGTTACTACGCTAATGTGGCTACACATCCTTCACTAAGGTCCAAAAACATTTCTTTGAACCCACCTATATAATCCTCGATGGGAGCCTGTTCAGGATGTGGTGGATCCAATATGAGCGGACTAGACGGTCCCATCGAGTTCCCCTGCTGGTTCCTGAGACGGGACAGCTCCTCCTCCAGCTCCATGATCCTCTTCTTCAGTCTGACACAGTTGGGGCAGAAGGGGGTGGAGGGCTCTTGTCCGGTCGGGTTCTCCTCAATCTTCGGCACCGTTTGGTTGGGAATGCCAACACAGCTGTCAGAGGTGTCAGCTCCCGGCTGGAAAAAGGGTTTATGACCCTCACTATGAAGGTGAGACCCAGACCTGGACTCACTGGAGTCCCCAAGAGACGCCTCTAAAACACCTTTGAATATGAGGTCGATTTTCTTCTTCTTGGCTGGAGGCTGTCCTTCACTGGACAGTTTACTGCTACACTGTTTGCCCCGCAGAGCCGAGGGAAGCGCAGGAGATTTCAGATCCTCCTGGACTTTTTGCAGGACTAACGTCTTCTCAGGATCTGAAACAATCAATCAAACAAACAGCTTGATTATCTACATAAAAAAAATCTGCTGGATAAAAAGGTTTAAGTTACTAATATATAGAAGGAAAAAGTCCAATTATATTCAAGTTGAGCAGAATGCTGATCATAGAATGGTACCAACCAATTCGAGATAAAAAATTTAAAAAACCAACAGCACCACCTAGTGGACAAATTAGTTAATATCACATTGAGACTGAAGCATCACCTCACCAGATTAAAGTATTAGTACACCCAAAACATGATTAGCCTTCATTTTCTACTCACCCCCATGCTGAACAACACTCTGGAGTACTTTTTTGATATCTCAAATGCATCTGGAGATCTGGGAGGCTTCTTGCTGTCTGCTGACATTCAAATAATAGAGGTCTATGGCGCCCGAGGCAGAAAGGTCCATAAAAGTCCACAAAAAACGTGTCAATATTCCTCCATACTGCTCGTCCAATGTATTCCAAGTGTCCTGAGTGGGTAGCGTCCAGAATTTACTCGAAACGAAGTCATTTAGAATGTTTTTAGAGCATAAACAGTAGTGTATAGGATTTCCTGAAAGCGAGTTCACGACGCTACGGAAGCCGGCAGACCAAACCAGATGAAAGTGCGCATTCAGCGTCTGCTCTGCCGATAATGCAAGCGTAGAAGAAGAAATGTGCTGTTTACCTGTGCAAAGAAAGAAACAACGAAAGAAAAATGTCTGAGGACTTCAGTGTTGAGGAAGAGCATGAATTCTTTGCCGAGCTGAATGCGCACTTTCATCTGGTTTGGTTTGCCGCGGTTTCCGTAGACTCGTGAACGCGCTTTCAGGAAATCCTATACACTACTGTTTATGCTCTAAAAACACTCTAAATGACTTTGTTTCGAGTAAATTCTGGACGCTACCCACTCAGGACACTTGGAATACATTGGACGAGCAGTATGGAGGAATATTGACATGTTTTTTGTGGACTTTTATGGACCTTTCTGCCTCGGGCGCCATAGACCTCCATTATTTGAATGTCAGCAGACAGCAAGAAGCCTCCCAGATCTCCAGATGCATTTGAGATATCAAAAAAGTACTCCAGAGTGTTGTTCAGCATGGGGGTGAGTAGAAAATGAAGGCTAATCATGTTTTGGGTGTACTATTCCTTTAATAAGCAGGCAACAGAAAAGTGTGCAGAGGTGGGAAGAGTGTGGTTCCATCTCAGTTGCCCTGCTCCTCGTTTCTCTCAGTTCGACTATAAACCAGGCTTTAAACCTGTAGCTACCAGCTAGAACTTTCCTCCATCCTGTTCTAACGATCTCCTCCATGCTTCACCTGCGTCCAGGTTGCGATCGATGCTGTCTTGAGACACACGCTGAAGTTTCTGGACGTAGTCGTCGCTGTACCAAACCCTCAGCTTCTCTCCGGCTTCCAGCCTCCTGCAGGCTCTGAAGTAGAGGTTTCTGCTGTGCTGGAAAGCTGTCAGGTTCCTTTCGCTGTCCTCTGATGATGTACGAACAAACCTGCAGATCAGCCCAGAATTATTAAAGTTCTCCTTTTTTTTAGACATAATAACAGCTCTGACATCATGTCTAGGTCTGCTGGTTACTTATGATCCTAGCAGAACGATTTGCTCTCAGATGGCACGTTTACTGCTGGTTAATTGAGGTTTTAACCTGTTAGAAGGTGACAGTGTAGCTTTGTTAAACCCAGTTATCTGCTAAGTTGTTGAAGATTTCACTTAGTCTGTATAGAAGCTATTTTTCCATTTTTCAGTTAAATCTTAGAATTTAGATTATTTAGTTTCATTTGTTATGTAGAATAGGTTTTTGCTTAGTGATTCACTTAATTAGTTCATTTTAGCTTGGGATGTGGTTGTTTCACAATATAAATAGGTAGGTTTTAGGCAGCTTATTATGCCTGAGGGTTTTCATATGGTTTTTTACCAGTCCCAATCTCAGTCTCAATATCAGTCCCAGTCTCTATCTCAGTCCTAGTCTCAGTCCTAGTCCCAATCTCAGTCCCAGTCCCAATCTCAGTCCCAGTCCTAGTCCCAATCTCAGTCCCAGTCTCAGTCCTAGTCCAAATCTCAGTCCCAGTCCCAATCTCAGTCCTAATCCCAATCTCAGTCCCAGTCTCAGTCCCAGTCTCAGTCCTAGTCCCAATCTCAGTCTCAGTCCCAATCTCAATCTCAGTCTCAGTCCCAATCTCAGTCCCAGTCTCAGTCCTAGTCCCAATCACAGTCCCAGTCCCAATTTCAGTCTCAGTCCCAATCTCAGTCCCAGTCTCAGCCCCAGTCTCACTCCCAATCTCAGTCCCAGTCCCAATCTCAGTCCCAGTCTCAGTCCTAGTCCCAATCTCAGTCTCAGTCCCAATCTCAGTCCCAGTCCCAGTCCCAGTCTCAGTCCCAGTCTCACTCCCAGTCTCAGTCCTAGTCCCAATCTCAGTCCCAGTCCCAATCTCAGTCTCAATCTCAGTCCCAGTCTCAGTCCTAGTCCCAATCTAAGTCCCAGTCTCAGTCCTAGTCCCAATCTCAGTCCCAGTCCCAGTCTCAGACCTAGTCCCAATCTCAGTCCCAGTCCCAATCTCAGTCCCAGGAAGTTGGTCTAAAACCACAAATAACGTTCAGATAGTTCAGTCAAAGGATCTGAAGAAAATATTTTAATCTGGATTAAAGCAGCAGAAGGTTTTCAGGTCCTCTCCAGATTTTAGGGAGTTTATTCCAGATCAGTGGAGCAGAAGAACTAAAAGCTGTGTCGCCATGTTTGGTTCTGATCCAATAGACCTGACAGGTCTGGCTGTCGATCCAACCGTGGTTCTCTACTTTCTTAGTTCTAGTGAGGACGCAGGCAGCAGCATTCTGGATCAGCTGCAGCTGTAGGATCCACTTTCTAGGCAGACCTGTGAAGAAACCACTGCAGGGATCAATTCTGATAAAGATGAACAAATCAGAACTCAGTTTTATTCCTTTAATCCTGCAGATGTTCTTCAGGTGATGGAAGGCCGAATTTGTTCTGTCTTTATGAGCCTCTGAAGGTTCAGGTCTGAGTCCATCACTACTCCCAGACTTAGAGGCTGGATTAACTGAAGCTGGATGTTAACTTTGAAACGCTCTTCCTTATAATAATAAACTATATGCAGGTATGTTTGAATGTAAACATGTTTATCCCAAAAGGCAGCTTTAGGTTAGCATGAGTTTAGAACAGGAAGTTATAAACAGTAAATCATGATAACAGGACAGAATTCATCATGAATGCAAATATCAGCCCTGAGGATCTAAACTGACTGGATTTATTAAATCAAAGACTGATTTCCATCAAAAGGAAACTTTCCTGTTTTTCAAAACATTTCCTAACTAATTATAGACATAGACTTGATAGATCTATCCGTTTTGACCAGTTCCATGTTCACTAGATTTTTCTTCAGTATTGGTTCTGATATGGGATGGATGCATCTCCAGGGTAAAGTGTTCCAGGATCATCCTGATAACAAACCGATGGAGTTAAGATCCACAACCAGAACGTTTCCTCTTAAACATCTGTCCCTTGGTGTTCTTTTTAAACTGGTTTCTGAGTAGAATGTTTTAAAAGTTAGAGGAACCTTCACCTCATCCAGTTGGCTTTGGTGTCATCGCTGCCATCGATGGACAGAGACGAAGCGTCTGAGTCAACAATCTGGAACAAGAAGCAGGAAACAAAGGTTGGTGACGTCAGCTGGTCCCAAACGGCCCCTAAACTGGAGTCACTGGTTTAACTTACAATCCAAGAGAAGCTGCTGGTTGATTCCTCCTCAGACAGCAGCTCACCCTGATACGGACCAAACACCGCCCCCTTTGGGAAGACTGCAGCCACACAGCGGACATCTACCTCCCCTCCCTCGGTGAAGACCTCCAAGCCTGACGGGACCGTCAGCGCCGCCTTGTTGGCTGATCCGGGGGCCACCGGCGTATCAGGGATGAACAGCGGGGGCCCGTGGGACGGACACTCCTCCTGGAAGTGTTTCTGACAGTCCTCACAGACTGGAGCAGGAAAACATCAGGCTGTTACAGAGAGCTGTGGGCTCAAATCTGAGTGGGGGGGGAGACACTCACACCAGCGGTCCGGTGGGTTCTCACTCATGATGGAACCATGGCAACAGAAATCCACATCATCATCCATGTGTCAGACCTCTGAGGAGAAAAAACACACAAACTATTACATGATGATAAATTAACGCGCTTCTTTACTAACAGAAACCACGATTAACTACAGCTCCTGGTGGGATGAATAAAAAGGTCGTTTTAGTTTCTATTGGGAAACTAAAAGGAGAAACAGCGACACCTGCTGGTTGGATTCATACATGACCTGCCTCTGTGATCAATCGGTTCGATTTGAAGTGAAACCAGGGACGTCTTCTTCCACAGAAACAGGTCAGACTGAACGTCCTCAACAACAGACGCTCTCTGATGCAGATCGGTTTATTCTACAGCATCACGTGGAAATATTACCCCCAAACATGTTTTTTTCTGTCATCTATATGTGGATTTTTGGTAAGAATTTAAAAAATACTTTAAGATCGAGAATAAGAAGAACAAAAGGGATTTTATTCTTTCAGAAGATGTAATTTGCCATAAGAAGCATTAAATTTATCGTCATCAGGAGGACATGTTTAAAACATTTTTACTCAGATTTCCACATACCAACTGCTACCTACAAATATCTCTTCAATAAATAATTTTGATTAAAATGAAAATTAGATAAACTGAACATTAAAGAGGTTTTCTAATAGGTTGTATAGCTAACATTAGTATCAATAATATAATTGCCTTCATTCGTATTGATATTGTTTACATTCTTCATATATATGAATATGTTGCACCGATACCAGTATGGGGAGGGGCTCGATCCAGCACTAAAGTGGTGGTATTGGTATTGGCGAGTACCAACAAATAGGGCACTGATAGCATTTTGAGATCCAAAAGTTTATTCAACTATTGGCACCCATTCCAGGTAGGAAATAGAAAGTTCTACTGGATTCACTTTGTATTAGATTTTTTCCTGCTTCCCAAAGGTAGGCAGCAGCTTGATAATATGGAGGACCAACTCTGCCACATTTAAATGTAAGTAGAATTTAAATTATACAGTGAGACATAAATGTATATAACTCTTTTAATTAGCTTCTTTATTTATTTGCCTTATTTATTTTTTTTAGCAAATTAAAAGTTATATACATTTATGTCTCACTGTATAATTTAATTTCTACTTACATTTATTTGTTTATTGTATTTTTGTTGGCAATTAATTGTATGCTTATATATTTATTGAGCATTTATTTATTTCTGTATTTATTTTTAAATATGGCAGAGTTGGTCCTCCATATGACAAAACCATGATGGCAATTATTTTACATCCAGGTAGTATGCAGTTCTTCATATACACACACATCAATTTCAAACAGATGGTATCGGAATCAGCCGATACTGCACAGCCAGGTATCGGGGCCAAAAAATGGCATCGGCGCAACACTAATATATATCAATACACTTATAACTTAATAAGGTGTTACAGAATAGTTCAGTTTCAGATGTGCATCAATCGCTCACTGAGGCCATCTAGTGGTGGATGGCCTCAGTTATTCATTAATTACTTATTTTTTTAAGTATTTATTTATGTGTATGTTATATTACTCCCTAAGACACAGCCCTCCTCATTTGCATAATGAAGCAGAAATGCATACTTAAATGTAAAGAAATAAATAGAGGGTAAAAAAAATACAAAGGAAAAATAAACCAGAAAAATATATAACATGCACATAAATACTTGAAAAATTAAGCAAATAATTAATAAATAAAGCTGAGGATTATAATGGACAAAAAAATAAATAACATAATTATTACAATGCTTATTTATTTATTGAGCATTTATTTATTTCTGTATTTATTTCTAAATATGTCAGAGCTGGTCCTCCATACATTACTGGCTCAAGTAATAATGGCCAAATATTCACAAATACGAGATAAAATCTCATATTACGAGATACTGAGATATGTAATTATGAGATAAACTGTCTGATTTATTTTTTTTTTCTTTGGTGAATGCTATATGACCCCCACCCCAACCCCCACACCACCGGTCCACAGAGATCTTATCAACGCCCCTGCATGTTTCTGACTGATTTTGATCTCGGTCAGAAGCTTCATTTCTGTGGTAATAAAAAGCCAAACTGAGCCAGAATCCCCTAAAGCTCCCAGGTTCCTCAAACTAAAACTTGTTTAACTTTGTGCGTCACTCTGATATCCGGATAACTGCGCACTCTGCGGCCCCGCTGCGCCTCCTGCTCCTCCTCCTGCAGGAGCAGAGGAGCTGCAGCCTGCTGGCGAGCTGCCGGCTCTTCTCTGCAGCCATTTTCAGTGGCCACGGTGGCCACGGAGCCTGACCCACCTGAAGCCGCCGCGCTGCGGGACACTGAGCCTCTGTCCGGGCTCAGTCTCTCTCTCCTTCCTCCCCCTCGTCCGACCGCTGCGGCTGCGGCTGCAAAGTTCGCCTCTGAATGTTTGCAGAGACTCAGTCGCCCTCCTGAGCGGTGGCCACCATTTTTATCACAGGAAATGACATGGAGAGGCGGGAGAAAGAAGCCGCGCGAACATCGCGGTTAATGGAGAGAGTCTGAGGGAGGACGGAGTGAGGGAGGGAAGGGGGGACGGAGCTCTGCCCCTCCGACTGAGAGGCCAGGAAACCCATCTAACCTGGTATAAACCTATCTACCGCCCAGAGAAAAACTGAAAATGATCAAAAATAAAGCTGAACTGATCCGGACTGAAGAACGTTCTCCATCAGAGAACTGGAACCTTCTGGGTTGGACTAGCACATGGGGGCCCCGAGGCCACTGGGGGCCCCTCCAAGCAGACATGTCTAATGCATACATTTTCTTTTGGAATCACTTTTCACAACATGAGTGATGCTGAGCCCAAAATACATGATGAAATACAATAATTAACTTGATCTAAAACACCAAATTAGCAAATAAACAATTACATATCTGAAAGATAAACAGGGAGGCTTGCTGATGCAGTTTGTAGCACTGCTGCCATGCACCAACAAGAGTTGAAGTTCCATACATGGCCAGGGGTTTTTCTGAATGTTCTCCCAGTGGGGTCTCTCTGGGTACCCCAGCTTCCTCCCATACAGATTGTTGGTGTCTAGATCATCTTTAGGTGTGCATGGTTGTGTCTCTGATGGACTGGTGGCTACTGGAGTTAAACATCAACCCCACTGTGACTCTGCAGTGTTCCCAACCGGGGGTACACGTGCCCCTAGTGCTCCGGAAGTACATTGCAAGAGGTACATGAAAATATTTTATTTCTTAGGTAGTAAAGTAAAATAGGCCTGGGATCTGTTTTGTGCGAGTATAAGGGCTAGAGATTTTTTTTCTTTTCTTTTTTTCTTCATTTTCAAGAAGTTGTAACATTACGAGAATAAAGTCGAAAAACTACGAGAATAAATTAGTAAGATTACGAGAATAAAGTCGTAAAATTAGGAAAATTAAGTCGTAATATTATGAGAACAAAGTCCTAAAATTACAAGAATAAAGATTTATTTTATGACAACGCTTATAAGAAGCACTTTCTTCCCTAAAATGAGGAATTTCGAGCATCGTGTGAATTTATGCTTTGGCTCTGGTTTGACAAATGAGGAAATCTTTTAGCACCAGCATCATATTGGGCAGCAGTTCAAAGTGAACTCAGGTTGCTGATTGGTGGAGCTGGTTGGTCGTCATATTCTGTCGGAGCTCAAAGCTTTCTTTCTGAAACAGATTGTTGTATGTTGACTTCATTCTCTTAATATTACAACTTTTTTTCTCGTAATGTTACAACTTTATTCTCGTAATATTAAAACTTTATTCTTGTAATGTTACCACCTTATTCTCGTAATATTACAATTTTATTCTAGTAAAGTTACTTTATGCTCGTAATTGTATTACTTTGTTCTCATAATGTTAAGACTTTAATCTCATATTGTTAAGACTTTGTTCTTGTAATATTACAACGTTATTCTCCTAGTGTTACCACTTTTATCCCGTAACATTATGACTTTATTCTCGTAACATTACAACTTTATTCTAGTAATATTACAATTTCATTCTCGTAATGTCACGACTTTATTCTAGTAATATTACAATTTTATTCTCGTAATGTCACGACATTATTCTAGTAATATTACAACTTTATTCTCGTAAAATTACAACTTTATTCTCACAATGTTACCACTTTATTCTCGTAACATTCCGACTTTATTCTAGTAATATTACAATTTTATTTTTGTAATGCTACCCAGTAGACCCAGTAGAAACATTAAACAATCTTTTATTCATCAAAAAGTAAGTTTTTCTTATATGTTTGCATTCAGCTTCAGTAACTTTTCTTAAGAGGAGCTCTAGTTTTATAAATATAGGTTTATAGGATTTTTTTTATTTTGTATGTTTTTCTATTCATTACCAACTTTCAGGCAACATATATATTGTTTTGAGGTGAAAAACATAAAATTATAAAAATTAGATGCTCAAATTAAAGGAGTAAGTTAAATAGTCATTATTTCACTTTTGGACAATCATAAGTACTTTAGACTGAGAGGGGAACTCATGGTAAGACAAAATGTCCAAAGGGGTATGGATGGGAAAATAAATATGTAATTACATTAGTAACAGGAGGATAATCAGCTCAAGGATTGATACAGTTAGAGACGGTAAATTTATCAGTTTGTTTGCCTTTAACAGATAAGTTCATTAGCAGTGGAGCAGCAGGGTTGAACATGAGGTTTAATCCTCCTAACCAGCTTCCTCCTGTTAGTTCATTGGACAGTTATCAGACATAAACAGGCTCTAAGTCACAGACTGTGCTTCAGAAATTAGATCAACACATCAAGAACATAAGGTTCCATTTTAGGTCTTGTTCTGATTTTTGTAGATTTTGAAAATAAAAAAAACCCCTTCCTGTTCCTCCCTGCAGTGATGGAGCTGCTGTTCTAACTAACAGATCTAAACTCGAAGTTTCAAGCTTTAACACTTGATTCTCATCATCCTCATCGGTAGTTTGGCTTTAACCCAGTCCACACGGTCATTCAGGTTCTGTACTAAAGGAAACTAATGTGATAGAAGAACCACTTTAGCCCCCAGCCCTTCAGAAACAAAAGGATTGAAAATCATGTGGATCAAAGGGGCCTCAGATCTACATCAATCATCTTCTCTATAAATCTGGGCCAATCCAGACTCGTTGCTGTCCTGAAAACTGAAGGGAAGTTTTCTAGAATCTGGGGTTAAAGGATGTAAACATTTACTTTGTTAAATATGTAATAATTTTATGCTGGAAAGCTGTGGTTGGACGCCTGTTAGCAGAGCTTCCAGTTTGGATCCTCTGCCGGCGAAGGCCCAGGAGCTGCAGGTTCTGTGGGATCGGATGCGATCTGGAGGTCAACCAGAATCCCTGAAAAAACTGGATACGTTGCCCTAAGGCCTAAATGCTCAGGTAAATTCTTCCTCCGGTGTTTCTGAATCAAAGTTTAAAGGTTCTGAATGATTGGATCAGACGGTCCAATCAGAAGGTGCAGCGGGATTATTCTGACTGGGTCTACATTCTCAGGAACCGTCAACGATCCAACGTCACGTTTTAGAAACTTTAGACATTGATTTTTTAAAACTTTTATTTTCTCCATATAAAAAAAAACATTTATTTTCCATAACAACAAAGATGTGAGCATTGTAGTTAACAGAACTTTTAGTCCTGCTGACTGTGGCCCGGGCCCAGAACCCAAACAAGAGGACTGTCAGTCTGGCTGCTGCTCCACCGGCTCCTCTCCATGTTCTGCTTGTGGTAGACGCAGTTGCTGTGTTTGACGATGCTGTATCTGGTGAAATTTTTGGAACCTTTGATTAACTGGTGATTGCGAGGGAACGGGCCCGAATGGATGCGGCACACGTGGCACCACATGACGTTGAGGGATGGGGAGAACCGGAGGAATGGGAACTCTGCCAGCCACTGCTTCCTGAAGCGCAGGGGCCGGCGGGCTGCGGAAGGGCGGCGAGACGTGGAGGGAGGCGAGTCGGGAGAGGATGGGTCGGAGCTGAAGGGGGCGGTTTCAGGGTCCGGTTCTCCTTCACTGTCCACCGGTTTAATGTGACCCGCCACTGCAAAGAGAGAACACAGAACCTTTAGAACAGGAATGGGAGGAGAACCAGCCTGTGGCTTCAGCTTAAAGGAATAGTACACCCAAAACATGATTAGCCTTCATTTTCTACTCACCCCCATGCTGAACAACACTCTGGAGTACTTTTTTGATATCTCAAATGCATCTGGAGATCTGGGAGGCTTCTTGCTGTCTGCTGACATTCAAATAATGGAGGTCTATGGCGCCCGAGGCAGAAAGGTCCATAAAAGTCCACAAAAAACGTGTCAATATTCCTCCATACTGCTCGTCCAATGTATTCCAAGTGTCCTGAGTGGGTAGCGTCCAGAATTTACTCGAAACTAAGTCATTTAGAATGTTTTTAGAGCATAAACAGGAGTGTATAGGATTTCCTGAAAGCGCGTTCACGAGTCTACGGAAACCGCAGCAGACCAAACCAGATGAAAGTGCGCATTCAGCGTCTGCTCTGCCGATAATGCAAGCGTAGAAGAAGAAATGTGCTGTTTACCTGTGCAAAGAAAGAAACAACAAAAGAAAAATGTCTGAGGACTTCAGTGTTGAAGAAGAGCATGAGTTCTTTGCCGAGCTGAATGCGCACTTTCATCTGGTTTGGTCTGCCGCGGTTTCCGTAGACTCGTGAACGCGCTTTCAGGAAATCCTATACACTACTGTAAATGCTCTAAAAACATTCTAAATGACTTTGTTTCGAGTAAATTATGGACGCTACCCACTCAGGACACTTGGAATACATTGGACGAGCAGTATGGAGGAATATTGACACGTTTTTTGTGGACTTTTATGGACCTTTCTGCCTCGGGCGCCATAGACCTCCATTATTTGAATGTCAGCAGACAGCAAGAAGCCTCCCAGATCTTCAGATGCATTTGAGATATCAAAAAAGTACTCCAGAGTGTTGTTCAGCATGGGGGTGAGTAGAAAATGAAGCCTAATCATGTTTTGGGTGTACTATTCCTTTAAATCTGACTTTAAAAGGATCCAGAAACCAAGACGAGGAAAAACTGACCAACATTTCATTAGACTGACAAAATCCCTGCTGCTCCTCAGCTTCCTGTAAACTTACACTCATAGATCTCTTCCTCCAAACTGTACCGATCTGGTCGGCTTCCAGCTGCTGAAGCCTCGTCTCTGCCTCTTCGCTTCTGTCGGCTGCTGAGTTTAAACAGCTGCTGCTCCAGCTCCTTGATCCTCCTTAGCTTCTTGGAGCAGCTCCTGCAGGAGGAACCTTTCTTGGTTCCCGGTTCTCCTTCAGGAGACGGAAGCTTGAAGTTCAGCTGCACTTCGTACTCGGCGGATGACGGCTGTCTCTTAGACCGAGCTCTGGCCTGGATGGAGGCCTCCAGAGACGTCTCCAGAGCGTTCCTGAAGAAGTCCTGGAAGAGACGGGAGGTTAGGGGAGCGGTTCTGTCTGGTTCTGTGAACGCTCCAGATGAGGAACCAGCCTCACCCTGAAGCTGGTGTCGGCCCTCTTCTCAGCAGCCTGGTTCTGAGCACTGACTGGGGGCTGCTGGGCGCCAGCGGCTCTGCTCTCCAGAAGAGACCGCAGGGTGGATCTGACCGCCCTCCAGGGTGGCGGGGGGGGCTTCCTGACTGCAGTGGCACTGTTGGCTCCTGAACATGGAGGGAAGACATTCAGCCTTAGACCTGAACAATCGCTTCTAATGTTAGGATGATTCTAAGGGCCCTTGACTGAAGGGGGGGGGCCCAAAAGAAGACGAAAAGATTTGTCCCGCTTTTCAAATATAAAAAGAAAATCCAGCAGTAAAATAAATAATTAAAAACTACATAAAGTATAAAGTAACCTTTAAAAAAAAAACAGCCAGATGCCACTATACGAATTGAAAGCTCAATTTTTCGACTATCAAAAAATTCTTTGAGATAGGGCCAAGGATGAGGGAGGTCTGGTTGGTCTCCCTCTCCCGATACGCTCTCGCCTGTGTCCGACCTTTCAGACATTTCAGCATCTTTTTCTGAATCCTACATTGTAGCATGGCATAGACAATTCACATTTGCAGTTTGAAGAACACCTGCTTGCTTCTGATGATTTCCTTTAGCTAACCAATGAGTGTTTGCGTTATATGACTCATCCAATCACACTAGTTTTTACTAGGATGGATGGAGCCAATGATCTGCATTGGATGGAGCACATGATGTGAAATAAATATTTATAAACATTAAACTGAAGCCAAGAGTAACGAGTAACGTTTGTTTTAAAAATGTAAGGAATAGAAAGTACGGATCCTGTAATGAGTAGAAGTCAGAAGTAGGAGGAAAAATAAGTAATGGAGTAAAATATAGATACCTAAAAATTGTACTTAAGTACAGTAACGATGTATGTGTTCTTCGTTACTTGACACCTCTGGACGGAGATAAGAAAGGCCCCTAACAGGCAGATGGTAGGCCTGGGCAAAAAAGATCGATTCAATTAAGTAATTAAATTTTTTTTGCAGCTGTTACATTTTTTATTTTTTCTAATTTATTTTTTGTAAAATGTTGCAATTTTGGTCCCCTGGAGCTTCCGTAGGTGGAGTATTACTCCCACAGAGCAGTTCGGTGTGACTACCTAATCCGTTCCGGAATCACGATCTGTCCTTCGCATATGTGAATAGATATACATCTAGGGCTGCAACAACGCATCGATAAAAATCGACTGTTAAAAGCGTTGGCAACGAAATTCATCATCGATTAGTTGTGTCGCGCGATTAATGCGTCATCCGCCGTCATCACATCCACTTGACTGAAACGGGGAAGAAAAAAAAAAAAATACGGCAGAGCGAGCCAGCGCCGCAGGTGCAGTGTTGCCAACTCAGCGACTTTTCAGACCCCTCCATCGACTATTTTTCAAAAAAGCGACTAGCGACAAATCTGGCGACTTTTTACGGTGTCACTGGCGGCTTTTGGAGACTCTTACGTGAAAGCATGTATCATTCCTACTCTGCCATGGGGGCGCCTCCCCCCGCTCCCGCAGGAGTCCCTCTCAGCGCTGCAGTCAGAGCCGCAGGATGTTTACCCTCAGCGTCCAGACTGCAAATGAAGCGCGCATGCGCCGGGATTGACGGCGCAAACTGATTACAATAATTAAAATAGCCTGCGCTTTGTAAAGCGAAAAAAGTCGGAACATGCAACTTTTGTCAAAACAAATGAACATGGCACGGAACCACCATGTTTGTTTGGTTTTAAAGTGGGGAAACGTATCGTTAGTTTCTCAGGTAGCTCATCTGATGCTTTCCTTACAGTGTTAGTAGGTTACAGACAGTGAGAAGGTTGGCTACTTATTTTACGTTTAATTTAATTGAATTAGCTTAAGCAGCGTTTGTATTTACTTTATAAATAAATTAACTTGCAAATTATGAGGGCAAGGCTTTTAAAGTTTAAATCTTCTGGCAAAGATAAAGTAAAGAAGATCCTGCAATTTATGGAAGTAAAGCAGAATAAAATCCAGCAAGATCAGTAATATTTCAATTAATTATCTGCCACATTCCCATGTAAATATCTGTCTTTGGAGGATGTGTTTTTTAGCACCCCTAGTTCTCTCATTTTTATTCCAAATACAATTTATAATTTGAATCACAGGGCTATTTTTATCTCTATGGTTCAGTATTTTCTCAAGTAGCAACTTTAACTGCTATACTTTCCTGTCTTAAAAGGCAGAACTCTTCTAGTCTAAAAAAAACTAATTTGTTGAAATGGGGGGGCCTATTGTTTGAACCCCTTAGGGGCTTTTAAAAACAAAAATGTCTTTATGCGCTTTATGAAACAAAGTACCCTATATTTTGTGGATGTACAGCTACATTTTTCATGTAAGTTTGCGTAGTTTTAACAAACATTTATTTTTCATATTGCACCAGTACAGTTAATGAGCAACCTGTACTTGTGTGCTTGTTTGTTCTGTCTAAAATGTTTATTTTGGAATAAAGAGGTTAATATAAAAAATATTTTTTGTCCGATTCATCGATTAATCGAAAAAATAATCAGCCGATTCATCGATTTTTAAAATAATCGTTAGTTGCAGCCCTATATACATCTATACATAATTACATAAATAATGTAATTATGGCACTAAAATTACTTATTTCTATCCTTAACTCGAGAAAGAATGCTAATACACATCTTTAAAAAGTATTTTACGACTTTTATGAGACAATTTTTATGCTTCTTACATTTTCTTCGTTAAACTGCTTCTCTGACGTCATCATCAGACATGCTCAGAGCAGTCTCACAAAATCTGATTAAACCATGTTTATATGCATTTTAGTTGCTTCTTTCTTTAGATTACACACTATATAGCATAAGGTTAAAACAAAATGAAAACAGAAAACTGAAAAAGACTAGATTAATGTTTAAATCCTAAGCCGAAAACGTTAGCCACCTGAAGTAGCATAGGATCCCATTTCTGGTGCAGATCCGGCAGAGGCCAGCTATGAAACAGAAAGGATTTTAAGGTATTGTTTTCTAAGGAAATACATGATCCTTTAACACATTATATTTTAGAACGTTTACTATTTTTTTCAGGTGGGAAAACGTCATTTAGGCCTTTTTAACAAAATAAAATTGAGGACGAACTGTTTGTACATGCGCAGGACGGATCGTGCCTCCGGGGCGGATCGGGTAGTGATATTCGGTAAGCAACATAATGGCTACTTGTGAGAGTGGGAAGTTAGTCCTGAAAAAAGGAATAAAATCATCTGTTTGGGACTAATTTGGTTTTGCTGCGACAGACATGGAGCAAGAATCCCCCCCGCTGCAATGGCAGCAGCACCACAAACCTTTTTCAGCATCTTAAACAGAGACATCCGGTGGAATATGAAAAATGCCCACCTCTGCAAACAACCAACAAACCTCAGCTAGAAGCCTAGGCTTGAAGGTGATGAAAACAAACACACCAAACATCAATTGAAATGTTCGTGGAAACTTAGATTAGATTCAACTTTACTGTCATTACACATGTACAGGTACAAGGCAACGTAATGCAGTTTAGGTCTAACCAGAAGTGCAAAAGCAGCAAGTGCAGGATAAATAATGGTTCCATAAATACAGGACAAGGGTATTTCTACTGAATGAGTATAGAGATGAATACCATTATAAATAATTAATATAATATATAGATCACTAATGTTATGAACTAAATTTACAGCTGGATATGTACCAAATATAATATACAGGTGGATATTACTATTAAAAAAAGGTTGGGGTAGGGTAATTAGCAAGACGGTTAGCATTAGCTATAAGGATGCTCAATAAATAAATAAGCAAAGGATTTTTGTTTCAAAAATTCTGATTGAAAACGCTGCTATATCTTTATTACTTGTTCTTTGGTGCTCATGGTTGCCATAAAATGAAGTCGCCGGTTGAATTGTAAAGAACCTAAGCTTTGTGAGGATGTATAACATCTCTATATTGGTAAAAGTTTAACCGGTGGTATTTTCAAACGTACAGTTGTGATTGATGCAAATATACAAAACGGGTCGCCGGCAATCGGGTGGATGTTAATAAGTAGGGGGGAAAATCAGAAAAAAAAATCTTGATCCAAATTAAAAAGACATTTAAAAAAAATCAGTTATTTTAAGGCCATATCGCTCAGCCTGCATCTGAGGGTCATAGAAAGTTTAGTGGAGAAAAAAGGTGGAAAAATGTGAGGGATGACAGAAACAAAATTTTTTCCTGGATTTTCACCTACCTGGATG